AGAAAGTTATATCACTTCTTGAAGATGCAGATACCTTGCTGGCTGTACGTGAATTTATTCTTAAAGTTGGTGATAGTAGGTTCAATGATCTCCTAGTAAGATAGTGGCTATTCAATTAAAGACAATACTAACTCTATTGATTGATAGAACTTACATCACGTAGTCTTGCCAAAGCAGTTGTAACTCACTGGAGAGCAACAGAGTCTGGTGATGATGAAGTTATAGCTAACCGGATGCTGGGAAATGTGGTACAGGATGTAGAAAAAGCGATTAGTTCTACAACTGCTGCAAGATGGTTACGAAAACTTGGCTTCAAATATAAGGAGTATCGAAAAGGCATCTACAATGATGGCCATGAGCGTGAGGATGTGAAAAACTATCGCAACAATGTTTTTCTGCCACGGATGAAAGCATTTGATGAGCAGTTTTTAAAATGGGATGAAAATCTCAATGAGATTCCCAATGCTTTGCACCTAGCTGGTGAAGTGGAGCCATTGATTCTAGTTACTCAAGATGAGTGCACTTTCAACTCCAATGATGGCAAGCACTATATTTGGATTCATCCCGAACACAAGCCACTACGAAATAAGGTCGTGGTCAGGGTCTACATGTCTCAGACTTTCTTACACCAATTGGTCGTCTGAGAGATAGAGCAGCTTGTGTAACCATGAAGTGTGGAGGTGATGTCTGGTGGACTGGAGACAAATTGCTTGAACAAATTGTGAACAAAGCAATACCAGCCTTTGAGGCACAGTTTCCTGGCTGCAAGGCCCTTTTCGCATTCGATAATTCACGAACTCATCTAAAGTATGCAGATGATGCACTCCGAGTGGCCGAAATGAATCTGCATCCTGGTGGAAAAAATGCAAAGTGCATGCATGATACCTACGTTATTGATTCTGGTCATCCAAATGGTGGTTTCATACAGTCTTTAGTTCTGCCAAGTGGAATTCCAAAAGGACTGAAGCTTGTTTTAGAAGAGCGTGGTCTGTGGCCAGAAAGTCAGAGATGCTTCTTAACACAATGCTCTATACCATCCAGTACAGGAAAGTCAACTATACCAAATCCTCGTTGCCTAGATGGTGGCAGCTGTTGTGCTCGGGCACTCCTGGCTGCTCAGCCTGACTTTCAAGATCAAAGAAGTCAGCTGGAGCAAGCAATTCTTGATGCAGGCCATGATATAATCTTTTATCCTGCGTTTCACTGTGAACTCAATTTTATTGAGTATTATTGGGGGGCAGCAAAGAGGTATACTCGGGAGAATTGTGAATATGACTTTAAATCTCTGAATCGCCTAGTTCCAGAGGCACTGGCAGGTATACCAGGTCAATTGATTTGGAAATACTGGGCTAAGACACAGCGGATTATGGAAGGTTATAGATCAAATACTGTTTATGGAACTCCAGAGTATGAAAATCTTGTACATCGAGAGTATGCTTCACATCGTCGTGTTAGTAATTTGGGAGTGGACTAAAATGTAGTACCTAGTAAAAATATACTTTCTGCTAAATAAAATTAGAAATCCATGAAATAGAATATCTAAAGATTGCTGGATAGGAAAATTCTGTATTCTACACCCCTTACCCTGATTACATAAGGCGTCACATTGTGCAACACCGGTGGTCCACCTTTTAGACACCTCGCACCATACTACCACAACTCTCTATGTAAGTATTGTAGATCTTCTAAGTTTGCAATCAAAATGGATAGAACTTAACTGGTAGAAAGCTGATATCTATGGGTGCTTGCATGGGTCATAGCACATGGAAAGTCAGTTATTTAGTTAGCTTTCCCAGGTGACTCAATAGTCAGCCGCTGATGAGACACCAATGTGCAGAAGGTTTTACTCAGACAGATATATTGGTAAACACCTCACATGAACTAATGTGCATCTGGGAGATGTCTGCTAGAGTGCGCTAATACCTTAGGCCCTTCAGGGATATGGTAATGGTATCAGGCAACCCTTATAGAGAAGGCCATACTGATGTTGGTTGGGGTACCCTGATGGTAGAGTTTTTGGTATAAGTCTGACTACTAAAAGATTATACGAGAACTCTCCTACCCCAATACAATCAACATCCTCTCCCGAGACTTTAATTGCAATAAGCCTCATCTTAACAATATTAAGTTTTACTGTTTACTTTTGTTCTTTACATTTTGTAAGAGCTGTGTTCAAGAGATTCAATATTTGGTGCAGTGGTATCCTTAGGCACCATCTACCTGAGGAAGCTCCTGTTACAGTTAGGCTCTTGAGAAGCCATCTTTTTCCTGTTATTCTTCAGATGATTTCCTTTGGTATGCAACTTGAAGATATTTTTTTTCAGCAAGACAATGCTCCTGTTCAGAAGGCTTATAGTGTTATGGCTTGGTTTGATAGGAATTGTATTGAATTGGTGGACTATCCCCCATACTCCTCTTATTTAAATCCTATTGAGCATGTATGACTTGAGCTTAAAAAGTGATTGCCTCAGTAGTATTCAAGGATTAGAGATACCCCAGGGCAAAAAGAAGTTGTAAAGAAGAGACTTGCACAAGTATTACCTTTGGTTTGAGAGACAATTCCTGAGGTGTTTTTTGAAAAGTTGTGGAAATCGATGCCTGATAGAGTAGCTGCAGTATTGGAAGCAAGGGGTGGTTATACAAAGCATTAGCTAGTTTTATTTATTATTTTATTCCTCTAAAATATAGATAGTACATTGATAATTAACTGTTGATCATTGAGGGCTGATCGTGCTCACAGTGTACACGCATGCCATTGACAACCCCACTACTGCCCTACCCGTCCCACTGGCCCCATGGCACAACCACAATTAAGCATGTCTCAGATCACGAACACTTCTGATGAGGCACTGTAGAAACTAGGACATATCCCAAGTATGTAGTATTTAATGAAAATCAAAAGAGTATGGATGGACTAGTAGATAATAGATGATATGGCAACAGATATGGCAACAGAGCTACTCCAGCCTCGCAACATGTTGTGACATAAGTGGAGTTTCTTGTATAATTGCACGTATGTGAGAGAACGAATGAAAATACAGAAATAATAGCTGGCAGAAGGAACCTAACTGCAGGTGACAACCCATAGCCGAAAGTGATCCATCGTGATGTCACAAGACTTACAACAAACGGGTTCAAAGCGTATCGATTGATTCTTCGTGATACACTCTCCCGGCGAACTGGAGAGGGGTTGGCAGCCGTCTGGTGGCCGGGGGCTTGCATGGAGGTACGGTAGCGGCCTACTTGCGGGAAAAGTGGAATAATTTCCTACCAAACACGACCGACTTGGTTCCAAAGATACGCAATCGCATGACGTGAGCCCAAACGCACAAACCTGCCTCCCATGAGGCCTAGATACCTGCCGCTCTCTCTCGACACCCATCAGCAATCACTCCCTCGAACTGCCGTCACATATCCGAACAAAACTCCCACCTGATAAACACTCCCACCCCACGGAAGAAATGGGCCAATCTCACTCGGGCCGGCAACCGCACTCTCCCTGCGCACCACCGCCAACTCCATTATCCGCATCCCGTCGAAAAGTCCTCACGCACTTAGATAACCGCAACAACATGGAGCGCTTGCGCCGCGGTGGACCTTGGGGACATGTTGATTACGGGTATAGCCCCGAGCAAGTGCGTCATTGGCGGCAAGGTTTTCTGCCGGGACAGGTGCCAGCTTGTAGGGGGGGGGTTCGTGTACGATCGGAGGACTGCTGGATTAGGGAGACGGAAGTATGGGGTGCTTCGGGGCGCTGGGGATACGGAGCCTAGAGGGAGAGTTTGGAGGGTTGACCTGGAGGTGGAGGTGGGAGGGAGGAGGAGGGGTAGTTGTTGATTGGTTGTCTTTTTCGCAGGAGGGGTTTTTTGTCTTGTCTTTGTGTGTGGTATCGTATTAATACAGCGCAGTCATGAATTTACGGCCGGGGTAACTTAGATTCACTATAGAGTAAGTGACATTAGACTAGAAAGGTCCAACTGCTCGGAAACAGAAACTCTTCTTCAAAGATTCGGCGAACTTGCTCTAGCACAAATCGCTCCACTTTGCCTACATTCTTAAGCACTTGTTTGCCTTTCCCCTTTTCCCCAATTTCGCTCTCCACCTTGATCTCTTTCAACAAACTCTTTGTATGAAGCCGAGCGAGCTCTTCGTCATTGTCTGGATAAGGTGTTTGTTCTTCGTCTATGAAGCAAAAGTGTGCCCGTCGGCGAATATATGCCAGACAGGCCAACCCATCGAATTTACACCCGGTGACTACGAGACGAACTGGCAGGGCAACGAAATTTGTGATTGGGTATTCGAGAAGTAGTTCGGCTGCGAGTTCCAGTCGGATATCTCCTGAGTACCGGACACGGGCCATTATCTGGGTATCCTGGTCTCGGGGCTCGGTCAACCGGGGAACGGCGGGCGAGGATGAGCTTCTTGGGCGGGAATCTTCGGATGTCGGGGTATGGAGTGGCTCCCGAGGGCTCGATCCAGCGCTGGGAGGATCGGTGATATTTAGTGAGGATATGAGACCGCCAGAGTCTGCCGTAGACGGTCGTGAGGGGACGGAGCTGGTGGAAGTAGAATGGGGCTCACTCGCTGGAGGATGTGGTGAAGTAGGCGATTGAAATGCAGACAACGTGGGCGTATTCGTCCCGGCGAAACCGGATGATAATGCCGAGTGAAAGTAGTGTAGATTCGAGCTGCTCCCCCCACGATGAAACAGTGGAGTCGCGACACCAGCAACACCGACTCTGCCCGGAAAGGTATCTGGAATTCCAGGCGTAAACGGGTTTCGAAAGCGAATCCCGGTCCTACCATCCGATGTATATGGCGGGGGATTCAATCCGGGTGGAGGGCTTCTCACATCTCCCCTAATAGCACCGTCATCATCCCTCCTGTCCTTCCTCCTCCGCTCCCGCTCAAGCTTGAGCAAATAATCCTGTTCGTCCTCTCCCCCGAGGCGCCCGTTACCCAGATCGACGGAACCGGAGTCGGAGTACTCGTCGTTGTCGTCTTCGTAGAATTCGGGGTAAGGATCACAGAGTTCTTTGATCTCGATGTCGGGGGGCACATTGCCGAACGAGAAGGAGTGTACATTGACCGATTTGATGAATTTGGGGAAGGGAACGGATTGGAACTTTTCGTGAACAAAGGAGCGGATGTTTTCCGCGTAGCGAGCCCCGTCTACCCCAGATGTAAGAGTTTCCCAATTGATCTCTATGGACATGATGGGGGGCTCAGGATGGGAAAACTTTGTGTGGAACTATGCAAGGTTTGGGTGGAGGGTGTAAAGAGAAGGAGAAAAGCGTGACAAGATTATTGCGTGCTGGGATGAACATGTGGATCCTCAGATAGGACGGCAAGCCCTAGGAACCTACCGTATATGACCGTGTTTAGGGTCTGTTTGGCTACGACGGTTCATGTCCATTCCGTTCCGTTCCCCATACAAATTTCCTAACCCTTCCGTTTCATAAGGGTCGTTTTTAAGAGTTTGGGCCAATCATGTCCTTGAATCCTATCTCATGATAGCTTCAAGTCTTTAACTTGAGGACTTTTTCCTCGTTTTTAATCTTACATTTGTGGGAGGATTTTATCCCTTCCATCTATTTTTCGAGGCTCTCCTTCTTCCCCTTGGCTCCCTCTATTGGTTGAGCTTGATGGCACCTGGAGTTTCCTCTTTGTCAGGTGGCAGGGCCATTAAGGTTCTGTCTGCCTTTGCCAAGTCGGTTGACAAGGCCTCCTCTCTACAGAAGGAGGTTTCTCATGTCCGGCACCACATTTTTGTCGTCTCTCACCCCCTGCATTTGGCCAAGTTGGAGAGTAAGACATTGCTTGCCTCCCTGGCTGCTTGTTAGGCAGGCGGTTCCTCCCCCTCATCTGTATTTTTGAGGGGTGATGATGATCATTTGCCACCTCCATGTGAGGAGGGGGTGGCTGAGCATGTGTGTGTTCAGTTGCCTTTGGTGGCATCCTCCGTTTCGGCGGTGCAGGCCCCTGAGCCCTCTGTGGCTGAGCCCGTGGCTTCTGAGTTTAGGGGAGTAGCTGACCCTGTTAGGTCACGTGCACTTATCCTATTCATGGAATCATCGCCCCCCTCTTGCGATGAGTTTGTGGTGCCCGGTGCACCCACTGATAGCCGCAGGACTACTTCTGGACAGAGACTGAGGTCGAAGCACTGTCGGGTGTCTGAGGATGCCTTGTCGCCTGCTCCCTTGGTCAAAGAGAGCTCGGGGGCAGAGAGTGTGGTGACTACGGTCGCCGGCCCGACCCCTGGGGCGAAGGAGTTCTCTGCCCTGCGGATGGACTCCATGGTTGGGTACAAGGCCAGCAGGCATTACGGTCTGGGGCAGGTGGGGAAGGGTCACTGGTCCGTTTGTGTTGCTTGGAGTTTGCTTTGCTGTGGAGGTCCCTGATCACCAACTATTTTCGGACCTGCGGTCCCGCATTTGTGTCTTTGGGGTGGGGGGTAGAACCAGAAGGAGGGCACGAGGGTCTTGTCCCTACACGGGCAAGAGGTGAGGAGGAACAAGCTGAGCCGCCATATGTGCAGTCAGGTGTGGCCCCTCCCTGTGGGTTGGGATAATGGGGGTACTTGCTCGGTGGAGGGCTGTTACTATGAGCCGCCAGAATATAGCTTTTGGGCTGCCGGTTGGTGGGCAGTACAGTCGGTGGATTAGGAGTGATGTGGTGCGCCTGGCTTAGCTGGGGCTGGTATGTGTTGGTGGAGTAGTTGCGAGGCCAGTAAAGCTGGTTTTGATTTATATAAAGATTTTGTGGTTGGCCGGGAATGGCCATGACCCCCTGGTTTGGGCTTCGGCTCAGGATCACCTGTCGGCCAGTGTGGTATGAGCCAGGCAAAGATGTGGTCTTGCTATGGGTTGTGCGGGTGGCACAGTCCCAGATGTACTGTGGTTTGCTGGTTTTGGAGTTGGCTTACCTCTTGGACGTAATGCCATATGGCGCATATACCTCTAAGGTGGAGTCATGTAGTTAGCTACAAATAAATGATTTAAATAACGGTCGTTTTGTATGAGAAAATGGAATGGTCTCAAATGGTTCCGTTCCTGCCACAAACATCACTATATTTCCACTTAGATAATATTTTTGATGATAAAAATATATCTAAACAGGGTCATGTTCGGCGACCACAGATATTGTGTTATTTCTGAACAAAAATATTTTTAAAGAAAATTATTACCGGTAAAGGGTTGATAAAAGAAAGTTTTCCAATACCAGTATTATAAGATGAATTCTATTGAGTCTGTTTTATTTTTAATATCTAAAATAATGGACACCTCCTAAATTCCCACATATTTTACATTCACTGCTATCCTTTCTGTATAAAGTACCTAAGCAAAAGTCTTGGTGAAAAAGGCGGGCAAGCGAGGGTGATGCAACCCAACCACAATGGTGACCAATCAAATTCTCCCTGCCACATCAACCATAGCACCCAAGACATCACACAAAGAGCTCACTGGAGTTGAGAAAGGCATGATCTTTGCTTTCTTTAAGGTTTTTCAGCAAATTTCAATCGTTAGCCAGATTGTTAGCCACCCATAGTCAACAGTCCGGAATTTTCTTGCCCAGTCTCTCCAGTGGGGTTCAATTGAAAACCTCCCATGTTTTGGTCGACCACCCCTGCTTTCTCAGGGAGCCAAGAGATCATTAGTCCGAGGGGCCAAGCTCCACAGGGATTGGAGTAGGGAGAAATTGCGGCAGATATTGGCTCCTAATGTCTCAGTTTCTACAACGGACTGGGCTCTCAGGGAGAGTGGCATTAAGAAGTGGCTAGCCAAGAAAAGAGCAAAGCTTTCACCAGAGCATGCTCAGAAGAGGCTGACCTGGGCTAAGGCGTACCAGAATTGGACTGCAGAGGAGTTTGAAGGTGTTATTTGGCGTGATGAATGCTCAGTGGAAAAGAGCAGGAATCCAAAGCAAAAATGGGTATTCAGATCTGCTTCTGAAAAGTAGCATCCAGACTGTGTGAAAGGGATAGGGAAGAGAAAGGGGGTTTCTTTGATGGTCTGGAGATGCTTCTGAGGCAGAAACAGGAGAACCTTTGTTCCCTTAGTTGTGAAATCAGTAGACTAGTGGGTCTACCTCCAGCTTCTTGAAACCTGCCTTATTCCAATCCTGGAGCGAGTCCATGACACCCTTGGTGATCCTATCTTCTGGCAAGACAACTGTACTGTTCATACAGCTCAGACAGTGCAAGATTGATTTGACCAAAATGGGATTGAGTTGGCTGAACACCCTCCTTGTTCACCAGACCTTAATCCCATAGAACATGTCTGAGTTAAGCTAAAGAAAAGGCTTCAGATTCAGTATCCTGACATTGCTTCAACACCTGGTGGTCCTGAGAAGGTCAAGCAGAAGTTAGTTGAGGTATATTACCCATGGTATGGGATACAATACCTTCTGAGTTTTTTGAGCAGTTGTGGAGGTCAATACCAGACAGAGTTCAAGCAGTTATTGCAGCAAAGGGGTGGTATACAAGATAGTAGGAATAACTTTTTTTATTTTTTATTTCATCAATATCTAAATAGTGCTCTTACATTTTATTTCCTTTAATCTCTTCTCATTTAAAAAATTTGTTGTTGAGTTATTTCAAAATCTCTCCTGATACCAGACTGTTATTGCCCTGGCCAGGATGCATGATCACCAAGACTTTTACATAGGTACTTTATGTATATGTATCTATTACTTTTTTTTTTTTAAGTGACTTAGAGCCTGTTTGACGACAACTATTTCGTTCATACATACAAAATGGCCATTCATGAATTGAACCATAAGGCAAGTTGTATGGGCGAACAGAATGGAACAGTTGTTGCCAATCAGGCCCTTATTGTTGTTTCTACCAAAGTATTGGTCTAAGAAGTAAATACAGACTAATCTAAGATACCATAAAATCACTCACCCCTGACCAAGCTCAAGATTACTAACAAACAATTCAGAAGTAAAACACAACTGGGTATGATATAAAAAAAACTCCTGACAAAGTAATAACTGGTTACTCTCTCATTTTGCTGTCGCTCATCGTCAGCAGAAGCAAGTATAACACTAAAGCAAGTGTGACGCAACCATTTTTTTTTCCAATGTGATATCTTATAATACACCAAAACAGAATTTGGTAAGATATAGTAGTATAATATTAAGTATATTATTGAGTTATTCATATTTCTGGAAATAAATCTATCTTATTTAATCTAGTATTCTAAATACACGTTTATATTCAGGTTACAATTATGCTATTACTATCAGATTCCTCTCCAGTTTAACTATAATGTTTGAATTTTATCTTTATTGAAAAATTTATTTATAATCATTCTTTCTTTACAGGTTATTACCTTATCAGCTGTAACTTTCTTTGTTAAATTGTAACATCAAATGAGTTTTCTGAATAAGAATAATATCTGGCTATCAAATAATATATTGGTAACCACTACTCAAGGTACCAGGAAACTGCAAATAAAGAACTGACTAAATCAAGTATTGAAAGTTTTAAGGAGTCCTAGTAGAAGTCAGGTTGTTAATAATGAATCTGAGAGTAATTCTGATTTATTGACTTTTTCACTAGATTCTATTATTAAAAATGCGGGTTTGGTTGGTATTAAATAAATTTTATAATATTCTTGTATTATTCTCTATATCAGTTGTATATAGTTATAAGCTATCATGTAAAAAAAGAAAAAGAAAAAGTCAGGTCACAATTACTTTAGTATTACCTGCTTCTACTAACAATAAGTAATAGTGAAATAGGAGGGTAACTGGTGATTAGGTTAGTAGTAGACACCAAATAACTGCAAACCTCTATAGAAGTATTCTTAAAAAAATCTTCATAAACCATATAGTTAGCTACTAACATCAAACCAATGATTAATTAAAACAAAAACACAGCTACTAACCTAAGTCAGAATGACCAAACTAGGTAGAAGATATTAGGTAGTACAAGACTTTGTTTTTTTTATCTCTTATCATGGATTTAGTCACTAGGTACAAAGAATATATAGGTAGTTATTCATAGACAGTACAAGTCCTGTACCTGTAAAACATTAAAAACATACAACTACAGTCTGTCTGGCTACTACTCGAGCCAAGGTTGCAGCTAGGATGCTGCAACCCCTCAAGATTTGCTGGATCAGTTTTAAGCAGCACTTATCCTGAGTACCTGAGAGGTCAATGATAATTTGCAGCTCAACATTAGCTTAGGACTCAATGTCAGTTTTTGTGATGGGTAGGGTCCAAGTGTCGGGTAGCCC